CTACTAACCTGTAATTAGAAAAAAAAAAAAAAAAGTGAAGCAGAATCGCTTTTTATAATAAAGCGTTCGCTTTTTCGCTTTTTTCGCTTCTTCGCTTTTTCTCGATTTTTTCTCGCTTCGCTCACGTTCGCTTCGCCTGGGGTCCTCCGGGCGAGATAAGCTCGCCTCGCCTCGCTTCTCGCCTAGGCGAGCGCCTAGGCGAGCTTNGGGGTTTATTGTAACTGTCTTTCTACATACTATGACCCATGAATATATTACTGTCGTGTTATCACCACTGGCTCATTGTCATGTCCCTTGTGATCTTTGACCACGAAACCATTGTTTTTCCACCATTCTATAATCTATTGCAACAGGCGTTCTCCCTACCCAGTGTTATTTAAGGCGTAAAAGCGAACCGAAGCGACCAAGGCTCCTAACGCCTAGGCGAGAAGCGAGAAGCGAAGCGACACGCTTTACCGAAGCAAAGCGAACAGTTAAAAAAAATATATATTTTAGTTTNTATCTTGTCCAATGCTAAAACCTTTATGATTGCCACTGTTACATGTGCCACCACCTCAAGAATATCTGTTTTGAACCTTTATACCAGACCAAAGGATTAGTTTTGAATTTGTGTTNCCTACCTATCTTGTCCAATGCTAAAACCTTTATGATTGCCACTGTTACATGTGCCACCACCTCGAGAATATCTGTTTTGAACCTTTATACCAGACCAAAGGATTAGTTTTGAATTTGTGTTGAAGCTTCCAAATGATTCCGTTNCAGTGTTATTTAAGGCGTAAAAGCGAACCGAAGCGACCAAGGCTCCTAACGCCTAGGCGAGAAGCGAGAAGCGAAGCGACACGCTTTACCGAAGCAAAGCGAACAGTTAAAAAAAATATATATTTTAGTTTAATTACTTCTAAACAATCTAAGTCCTAATTTTATATATACTAAATATTTAAATGCAAGTAAAACCATAAACATTTAAATTAAAAAAAACACTAATAATATCTCAAATCTTAATAACAGTCATAACTTAAACATTTAAATTCAAACAAATACTAACAATTGTATACATTTTCATATTGACAGGGTAGGACAACAAAAGAAGCAGAATCAGGACAACAGCAGAATTAGCAACAAAAAAAAAAGAAGCAGAATGACAATTAAAAAAAACAAAAGCAACACAGGACAGCAAAATCGAAGCAGCAACAGAATCAAAAAAAAAAAAATAGAAGCAGAATGAGCTAAAAAAAAAACAGAAGCACAATGATCATGACAGGAGCAGAATCAATTGTAAACAATTTCATATGTAATTATATACTGAATAAAAAAAAGCAGAACAGAGGCACATTTCACATGTACTAAAATAATTAAACATGGTATAAGCATAGACCACTTTTTGGTACCATTTGTATATATATAAGAAAAGGGAAAAGTATAACCAAGACATATCAGAGACACTTCTTTGTAGAAGAATTTATTATTTACCCCCATTTCTGATACTCCTGCTTTATTTTTTTATCATAATTGTCATGCAGTGTAGTCGCCTGACTCCCACATCCCACAAATATTCTAAATGAATTCAGCAACACAAGGAAAAAAAAGGAATGTGTTTTGTTCGAAACATTGTTTATTAGAAAAAAAAAAAAATAGACCAGCAATAGTCTAAAAAAAAAGTCATAGTGATTAAAAAATAAAAGAGACTACTAACCTGTAATCAGAAAAAAAAAAAAAAAAGTGAAGCAGAATCGCTTTTTATAATAAAGCGTTCGCTTTTTCGCTTTTTTCGCTTCTTCGCTTTTTCTCGATTTTTTCTCGCTTCGCTCACGTTCGCTTCGCCTGGGGTCCTCCGGGCGAGATAAGCTCGCCTCGCCTCGCTTCTCGCCTAGGCGAGCGCCTAGGCGAGCTTTTCAAAACACTGTCCCTACCTATCTTGTCCAATGCTAAAACCTTTATGATTGCCACTGTTACATGTGCCACCACCTCGAGAATATCTGTTTTGAACCTTTATACCAGACCAAAGGATTAGTTTTGAATTTGTGTTGAAGCTTCCAAATGATTCCGTTTCCTAGTGAAGACATGAGTGGAAAACAATCCACGCATACTATAATCAAGATGAAGTTGATTTTGTCTTAGACGTACCTCATCACAATTTAATTTCTATCTTTACTGATGACAATCACAAAATTGTTGAAAGATCATTTCTTATCTTCTGCAGAAGGTGCGAGAGTGAGGGTTTTGAGACCTAAGAACACAATACTCAACTCAATGAAGCATTGTGCTAAAGTTTTCAGTTTATTTGATAAAACTGGGGATGTAGAGGAGAAGGAAAGGAGATAGAGAGAGAGAGATCTTATTGCAATACTTGGGTTGCTAATGATTTTTAGGTTTTTGTTTCATTTATCCCTTTGTACCAACCAGTATTGCTACCCCTGCGTCTAATTATGTGATTCGTCAATTCTATATAGTGTCATATTGGACTAATAAATGTTAGTAATACTTTGTTTGTTGTATACAAGTCAAAATGTCGACAACTTATCTACTTTATTCCATTGCACTATCCTTTTGATATGGATGAATGAAACATGCCTAACTGATCTATTTTGTAATTTACACCACTACATATTCTTTTGCTCTTTTTGTTGTCTTTCTAAAATATTTTTATTTTTGGGCTTTAGGAAATACACATCAAACTCAATTTTTATTTTTAGGCTAAGGTTCAATGTACCAGTCAAGTCTGATATTGCTCAGCCTTGTCTGGGAGAACTTGGCTGAATCGTATCAGTACATCCACAAAAATCGTGAGTCTCACTTGAATGAGTCCTAATTTGATTACGACTCGGTAGAAATGGCCCAACTTGGAGTTTTTTGTTTGAATCGGATGAGTCATAATGGAGTTGAGCGTAGAAGCGAGAATCATTCTACAAGAAAGACGGAGAAGAATGGAAAATGGCAAGAAAGAGAGATGAAAATTTTGATGTCCATATCTATAAACCATAATAATATGCAACAGATCCACCAAGTATCTATATGATTCAGTACCGTGTGCAATTATATTAGGACAGAAGAAGAAATTGAAAGCATTTGTTACCCAGACCTTTCAAAGCGCAGACCCAGACCCAGTGACACACGCAGCCACATGTCGATCCACATCTTCATTTTCCTCTTCTTCATTTTCTTGTTTGTGAAGTTGTCACACACCACCCTTGGTCCCTGTGCGTGGATCAACGTCTTCGATCGTGAACACCTAGTGGCCCACACAGCATACTCCGATCGCGAAGACGAAGATCAACATTCCCTCTCTCTCTCTCTCTCTCTCTCTCCCTCCCCCCTCTCCCTCTCCCTCTCCCTCTCCCTCAAGACAAAAGCTCACCTCTGTATGAAACAAAGACACTCTATGAGACTTAGAGACTTAAAACAGACTAAAGATATTTTATTAAGCATGACATTTGAGTCGTAAAACTAAGAATCTAGAACAATGTTTATTATAATTATAAATTCTTGTAACGTATCTAGAGAATAGATTTGGGCAAAAGGGCAAACTATATTCAACCCAATTTACGTCCAATCAATGCTTGGGTTGGAATCTTGGGTTTTTTCGAATGACCCCGAATTTCCACCCAATTGAACCTAGATTTATTGACGGATATAATAAATCTAAGGACATGCAGTACTCAGGTAGAAGAGTTCGGGCGTTTGGGTGGAAGGCTTTATAACTTGAGTTGAACCTAGGTTGATCTATAGTCCCGCTGAGTTTCACCCATATGTCCAATTGGGCCCGTTTTGTCACATCTGAATTAGCTGTTACATTTTTGCGTTTCTTGGTTCTTGATATCTGTAGTTTGCAATGGTTTGGACTCGAGTTGTTTCTAGTGTACACTAAAGTGGTGGTATTATTCGCACTAACTGACTAGAATCTAGGGGCTCTGCAAATGAACCAAAGTTGATGACATTTACTTACTATGATTTTGGCTTATGCCCTGTGAGCAGGGTTTATCACCTAACCAAAAAACAGAGGTCTTGGCTTTATCTGTAAAAATGAGCGCAGAGTTAGAAACAACGATTCCACCATGCAAGATGTATCTTCAACTAGTGAAAGGTAGTTGCGTGTGTAATGATTCATGATAGACAGAAAAAAATGAGGGTGGCAGGTGTTGTTGATGACATAATTTTTTCCAAAGGATGATTCTTTACCCACTCAGAGCTTAGTTGAGTAAGTTACCAAGGTGGTGTATATTTTCAATTCCCAGTGGCTTAAGCTGTTTTAAGCTTTTTGATTTTTTTTTTTTGGGGTTTTTGTGCTTGAGTTTTACTGTTTATTTAAAAACTCATTGCTGATTTTTTTTTCCTTGCTTGGTTGTGTGTGGCATTTTATGAAAAAATGACAATAGCTCTTCCTCTTTCTTATCTTCTAATTTGAGATCCATTCTTATGCATGATTNGGGTGTTTGTGCTTGAGTTTTACTGTTTATTTAAAAACTCATTGCTGATTTATTTTCCTTGCTTGGTTGTGTGTGGCATTTTATGAAAAAATAACAATAGCTCTTCCTCTTTCTTATCTTCTAATTTGAGATCCATTCTTATGCATGATTTGCATGCCTTTCATGTTAACTTTCCTAAGAGCTTCAATGGCATTGTAGCAGTGTGTATCATATAGATCAGCTAATCTGATCTCAAGTATATAAAAAAGTTTTTTCTGACTTAGATTACATTAAAATTGTTTAACAGTTTGGTAAACCTTCTAGTTATGGCTCAAAATCACGTTCTAGCTCTGTGAAGGTGAAGCATTCCACTTCTGGTTCGATTGAATCGGTAAAGTCAACGTTATTGTGGGATAAGGTATGTTTCCTTGCCTGCATATGTATGGAGCTACAAATATTCTGTTTGTTTGAAACAGTTCTAATGTTGGCATTGTTTTTAATTTCTGTATTTGTTGTCACGGTAGTTATGTATTTCTAGCCTTTTGGGCTCAGGAAACAATATATTCTCAAGTAGTATTGCATTCCCAATTTCCTCATTTCTAATTTGTTTGGTCACAAATGTGGTAAATTTTACTTTCACATTTGTTTTACTCAGTTTACACCTCTCCCAATAACCTGCATTTTTGGGAGAAGTTATCCTCTAACTATGTTCTTGTGACCGCAAATACTCAAATTATATACCTTTTTGTTCAATGATCATTTGCTTGTCATGCAGAGATGTGTACCTAAAAGATGAATGTTCTTTGCTTACTGCGCTTTTCCTTTAGTCATTTCTTTAATGACTTTTGGGGGAGGCTTTTATAGTCTTACATGGGTTGTTATTTTATTTTGACTTGAGGTTTTGCCAGTTCATGAAATCTTGGAAAAAAAAATATAAATAACAAAACTTCTATGCAAGGCATACTGATGTGATCAAATTTTGGACATGTACAGTCTAAAGTTTAATGCATGACTTTATGTAGACACACACACAGATGAAAGAAAGATCTTATGTAAGCATATACAAAGGAATATACATACAGCCAGAATGTTCCATTTGGAGAAAGAAGAATGATACAATACAGTGCCAATCAAATCTGAACTCTTCAAACATTCCCATATCCTCCATTGGTGTAGAAAGGACCCCCTATGAAAACCATGAAGCCTCCTCAGCCTCATACCAGCTGGCTAAAACACAACTTCTTTGAACCACTCAGTAAGAAGACATATCCAGATCTCTCTCATAAGATGATTGTTGCTTCAAGAGTCGAGGGGAACATCTGCCAATTCATTCTCAATAAAGCAGATTCATGTCGTTGTGCAGTTTGGTATTCTATTTCAGGTTTATGGGTTAAAACAACATATTTGAGACATAAACGGACTCAGTGGTTTAAGCTTCATTTGATTGCCACCTGGCTGTTGCTCACATATGCTACAGTACANGTATTCTATTTCAGGTTTATGGGTTAAAACAACATATTTGAGACATAAACGGACTCGGTGGTTTAAGCTTCATTTGATTGCCACCTGGCTGTTGCTCACATATGCTACAGTACAAATTAATCAAATTTATATGGAAATTTTGATTTGATGCTGGAATACAATTTTCATTCATCCAAGGATCAAAATTTTGTTTCCGTGCATAGTTTCGGTGAGCTTAGAAACAGATGCGTTTCAGTAATGTTTCATTAACATTTTGAAAATAAGATAGAAATAAAGGAAAATTTGAAAATTTATTTCCGAAACATTGGTTGAAACACCTATCGAAACATGCCGAAACCCCTTGAAATCATTGAAATATCTTGAAGCATAGGAATTTTGATATTCAATCAATGATTCGTTTCGGTTTCCATGAAAACGAAAACATTTCAAAACGAAATTTAGTTCCTTGCATTCATCACAGTAAGAACTTGTGTATTGTGGTGAAGCATTATTGTTGAAAACTATCAGTTTTCAAAAACTCATGACAAGTCTCTGGAATTTGTTGGCGTTTATTGTTTTAGTTGTGTATGGTTTTCTAGGTATATGGGTATATGTGAAACAATTCTTTATGCGCCTATGTATTACTATTTTCGCAGGCTATTATGAATATAGCTGACGTTGTTACTCCAATGTCCTTTCCTGACTCGTGATATATTTTGCTAGGTTTATTGGCTTCCCATTGATTATCTTCTTGTTGCTAAGTCGGCAAATGTGAGTATTGAAATGCCATATATCTTTACTTGGCTCACCATTCATCCTCTTCCGCCACCCCTGGCTGGGTGGTTTATTTATCTTTTTTTTTTTTTTTTGGGGGGGGACTAACAAAAACGAAGGAAAAATGAATCTCTGATCATTTTGTTTGCTTGTTTCTTTGAATTCTTTGTATTTACTTACAGAATTGTGGCTCATACTTTACTGCTGTCCTGTATGTGGAACATTGGTGTGAAGAGCATTTTAACAGGCTAACATTGGGGAGCCCGGATTTCTCCCATCTTGAAATTGTAAGTTTGGAAATGAGATGACATTTCATATTCTGTTTGTCTAACAATTGGTGTATTTCTTGTAAAGCTTATTCGAAACAAGTTTATGTTATACTCATTTCTGAAGAGACAAGTTGATCACTGGGACTTGTATGGTGCTTCATTATGCAAATTAGAAATGCTTTTTTCTTCTTCTTGAATTAATTTTTGAAGGCAAAATAATCAATTAGGCAACTTTTCATTGTACTTTCTCTTTTTTCTTTTAAATTTTTTTTGGTTATTAGGTTCCGCAGCACATTGAAATATTACTCTCAGCAGTCACCCAAATCAATGAACCTGACAGCCTGTATGGGATCATCGGATCCCACAAGGTAAGTTACATAGCTGTATTAAGTATTATAAAATTTTCTTTTCTCATTGTGTTAATCTTGTGTGCATTTCAATGATGTCACCAGTAATCTCTCTCTCTCTCTCTATATATATATATATATACCTTTGTAAAAAAGTCATAGACTTATAATAACATAGCATTTCATTAATATTCCACCAATTATTCAAGTTCCCAATAAAGTTCAGTAATATCAAAATGCAAAGACTTCTAATTCAAACTTCTAACATCAATTGCTTGAACAACCTTAATATTAATCAGAAATTTTGAATTCAATTGAACAACATTAACAGGAGACTTTATTTATTTTTTTTAAACCATAACCCCTAAAACAATGTTGTTTTACTAGTNAGTAATCTCTCTCTCTCTCTCTATATATATATATACCTTTGTAAAAAAGTCATAGACTTATAATAACATAGCATTTCATTAATAGTCCACTAATTATTCAAGTTCCCAATAAAGTTCAGTAATATCAAAATGCAAAGACTTCTAATTCAAACTTCTAACATCAACTGCTTGAACAACCTTAATATTAATCAGAAATTTTGAATTCAATTGAACAACATTAACAAGAGACTTTATTTATTTTTTTTAAACCATAACCCCTAAAACAATGTTGTTTTACTAGTTAGTGATTTAAAAATAAGTTCTAAGATAAAACGATGTCATTTCAACCCCAAAAAACTAAAAAAAATTAAAAAAATAGAATCTTCATGTATCGTACGTATTGGATGTATCATATCATGCGTATCGTATCGTGTATCGTACGATACGGTGCAAAAACGGTACAGAAATACGATACGTATCGTTTTTTAGGTGTATCATGATGTATCGTATGATACATATCGCATATCATACGATACTAATAACTATGGTTTTATGAGGTGTGCTAACGAAATCCCCAGTGGAAATTAAAAGAAAAACGGGGAAAAAAAGAGAGAAAAGGAAGGATATATATTACAGATTGAAAAGCTATAGAAGAAGAAATTAGGTTAAGCAGGCGAGGGCATATAACTGAGGTTGGGGCAATTGATGCCTGTATGGTTGTTCAATTTTATCTTTTTTTTCGTTGTTTTCTTTCCTCTTCTTTTCACCCCACAATAAGATGGAGGACCTTTTATTATGTTATGTCGTAAGGGTAACAATCTATCAACCTGCTAGTTGTTATTGCGAGGCACTGATGGGAGAAATCAATCCGGTCTGAGATGTGTTCATTGACAAAACCACCCAAGGAATGGAGACCTTTCAATAGAGAGAAGGCGAACTCATGAACGAGAACCCTCACAAGGATTTATGTACAAAGAATGGGTAGACTTTTATGGGTTGTATCCATAGACATGGTAACACAAACAAATTTTAGGAAGCAAGGGCACTTCTTTGGTGGAGTTGTGTCACAATAAACCCGTATGTGCTTATATTTCCATAATCAAAATTTAATGTTTTCTGCCCCCCCAAAAAATAGGCTGCAGTGGAAACTTTTAGATGTATTTAAAATCCAAAAGTTTCACAACGAGAATTGTGTTTTTCTACAACACTAAAACAAGTTAAGAATGCAGCAGCAAATCTTTATCAATAAAAAATGGTGAATAGAAAGGATTTGTGGCAGTAGCAGGCATCTAAAGTTACATACGTGGGAAACAATTCTCTGTATTTCGAAGTGTCCTCACCGTAGCCATCTATTAGTTTTTCAGACTTTGCTATGCCGCCATGTCAATGTTGTGTTGTGGCATAGTCCTTGTCCCATGCCAATTTCCGTTCTAAAATCTTTGAAGTGAATTAAATTTAACTGAAATTATTTGTCATGTTCACTTTTTGTAAATTTTCAGACAGAAAAATCTCAAGTAAAATTTCCTTTGTTTGACATTTTTTTGGTTAGCCATTGCTCCATGCTATCAAATGGTTTTCCATTTATATTAGAGTTTTTATTTATTTGTACCTATGTAATATTTTCACAATAATTTACTGCATGACCACCTTTTCCCTTCCGGTCATCACTTCTTGCAATCAGTTCCCGGCTAGATTCATTTAGTTAGTTTACATATTTTCTGGACCTCTGGAATACAAATCTTCTGATTTAGTTTCCATATCTTTAATGAATTCACCCCTTTGATTTCTTGAAGTTTATCTTTCAGTTTATCACGTAGATGATGTTTCACTATTTCACTGCAAGTCTGCAATATAGCTCGATCACCTTTGAATATATGTGATACAAACAAACATGCACTCCCACCCACAAAAAAGCTTATAATATTTCTCCAAGTTGTATCATTCTTTTTTATTGCATTTTGCAGTTGACCTCTCAAATTATCACCTTCGAACACGAGGGAAATTGGAGTAAAGCTCTTGAGTATTATGACTTACAAGTAAGGTCTGAACAAGTGATAGAATTGGGTAGTTCCAGAAAGTTTTCACCTGATAATTCTGGGCCTATAGTTCATCCATCCTTCTCCAAATCAAAAGATGAGATGTGCCACACAAACCCTTACAAAGGGTTGATTAGGTCTTTGCAGCAAATTGGCTGCACGCATGTATTGGATGTGTATTGCCAAGGACTGACTTCTCGAAAAGGCCGTTTTCAGCATGATGTAGAATTCAGCGAGCTTCAGGTTACCTCATTTTATTTGAATCTGCTTGAAGCCTGAGTGCTATTGTTTTCTCTCTTTGTCTCCACATCTGCATCTGTTATGACTTTTGATGTGCCTGCTTGATCCCATTTTTTTTTCGCCCTTGATTTGTTTGGTCAACCATTTTGCAGTATGAAGCTGCTTGGCGTGCAGGAAACTGGGATTTCTCTTTGCTATATGGGGAAGATGGTTCTCCTACTTCTTGTCAACATATCAGAAATGGTCATTTCAACGAAAATTTGCACAGGTACCGATGAGACTTTGCATTTAATGGGTTTTGATTTGATGTTCTGAACCCTGTTCTTGGTCTTGATTTGGAACCTCAATGTCTTTATGCTGAATAAACATTTTCAAGAATTGTTTGGCATAAAACATAGAGCATATTTAAGCAGATTGGAGCGCTCGGATTGTTGCTTGTGGGACTATTTTGTTTAGCGGTTATAACACTAATTAGTTGACAAAGTGTCTGTCCATGGAGGTTGTGGTAGTCTGTGATGATTAAGACACGTTAGCAACCGGAGGAGTTTTTAATCTTGTTTGAGGATAAATCTCTGTGGATGTTTCTTGTATGTAATCATAAATTGTTGATCTAAAATTTGTCATTCAACCTTTTGAAAGGTGCATACATTTTCAATTAATTGACACTAAGAGCATTTGTAATAGGAGTTTTTAAGTTATTAACACACATCCAGGTGCCTCTACTGGGAACGAATCATCAGACTTAAAACATAAAGAGATTTTAATTCGTTGCGTTGCAAGCCAAACTAGAATAGAATAAATAAAGAAAATAGTCTAGGTTTGAGTTATCATTCGTATGTGTGGGGATCTGAAACTACCATTGATGTGTCAATAGAATCATCAACATTTTGTGGAATTTATGGACGCTAATAATATTCGCTTTGTTCCTTTTCTTCCCACCTCGTGCTTTTTCTTTTTTTTTTGGGGGGGAGGGGGGGGGGGGATTCCCTTACGCTAGTATTTTCCTCATTTCTTGCTTTGTATCCTCTTTCATGAGAGTTATGGGCTCTAATAATATTCACTCAATTGTTTTCTTCCCACCCATGCTTTTTTTTTTTTTGGGAGGGGGTGTGGTTGTATCTAAATCACATAAAGTGGGAGCGGAAGTGCAAAAGCAGAAAAATTCAAAAAATTCTGAGAGCAGGAGCGCAAAAGTAGAAAAATTCAAAAAATTAGCGCCTTGAGAGGGTCATACTCAAGGATCGAAATTTCGTTTCGAAGTACCGTTTCGGTCATCTAAATTTCCGAAACGTTTCGGAAACGTTTCGGAAATGCAATGGAAACGCGGAAAAAATATGGAAACGCGTGGAAACACAAATACAATCCATTAATCTATATCTATATCTATAAACATAAGCTAAATAATTGATTAATTCAACATATTTATTGACTTAACATCCATTTATAGAAGAACAAATTTAAATTGGAGGGAAAAAAAAACTTGACATGAGGCAAAAATCACTAAAATTAGTTTTAAACACTTAAATTTTTATCAAATAAACACATTTTTATATAATATTAAGATCTCATAATACACATGAAATGCTAATGAGTACATACTTACATGGCTACATCCATCCCCCAGTGGAGTGTCGAGCAGGCTCATACATTGGTGTAGGCTCTGGGTAGCTACTTAGAGAAACTCTATATGTGACATAAATATGATCACAATAGTTACTCCAACTCATATTATTACGATAATATGAATTATATTCTCTTCCAAATCTCTGATAGTCTGCAACACTACATCCAATCTGTTGGGGAACGAATGCACCAGTCCCTGACCAATCTTTATCTTGTCTATATGAGGAGGATGTCTGGGAGTCATAGCCAGATCCATAACCATATGTTGAGGATCCATATTCGTATCCTCGTGTGTCATACCCCGATCCATAATCATATGAGGGAATACCATATCCAGAACCATAACCATATGAAGACGACGAACCATAATTATGGTGTTCACTTCCACTTCCACTTCCACTTATACTCATGGTAGAAAAACCATCATTAATCATATCAGTTCCATGCCTAATAGCACCCATACCATGTGGAGTGATCGGATTTTGAGTACGCTCACGTTGACAATCTCGAGTTGATTTNGTGCAAAAGCAGAAAAATTCAAAAAATTCTGAGAGCAGGAGTGCAAAAGTAGAAAAATTCAAAAAATTAGCGCCTTGAGAGGGTCATACTATATATACATATACTTTTACATATATTAAAATTATTAAAAATATGCTTTAAAAAATTAAATTTACATACAACCATATGATAAATTATTTAAAAGTTGTTAAAGTATTAATTTAGATTTTGAATCCCACATAAAAATAATAAGGTGAATGGTTAAATAAAATCTGTTCAATAAATAAAATAAGTAAACAAAAAGGCTAAAGGGATTTTAATGCCTTATTCAAGTAGGACATCTATCCCACATCGACAAAGAAGAGAAACTCACAGCTAGAGAAGGCCTATAAAAAGTGGTCACAGCATACCTTTTAGTGAGTGTAGATAGCCATTAGCTAGAATAGAATGCCCTACGTGGAGGGTTAATACAGCTGGAGGCAAAAGTATTATTTTTTTGATTGGGGTGAGCCAAACAAGCCATGATTTGTGTGAAGTTTAAGTGCTTTTTTATTATAGTTCAAATTATATGAGTGAATTCACGAATTTACCACGAATACGCTCTTGATTTGCAAATTTATGCGCCGAGCGATAAAACGTNCCACAGCTAGAGAAGGCCTATAAAAAGTGGTCACAGCATACCTTTTAGTGAGTGTAGATAGCCATTAGCTAGAATGCCCTACGTGGAGGGTTAATACAGCTGGAGGCAAAAGTATTATTTTTTTGATTGGGGTGAGCCAAACAAGCTATGATTTGTGTGAAGTTTAAGTGCTTTTTTATTATAGTTCAAATTATATGAGTGAATTCACGAATTTACCACGAATACGCTCTTGATTTGCAAATTTATGCGCCGAGCGATAAAACGTTGATAGGGGAAGATGAGTTGTGTGACTTAGGGTTGTATTCCCTTCTCTTAGCATTTTCCTCATTTCTTGCTTTGTATCCTCTTTTCTGCACAAACACTCCTACCTGGATACATGATTAACTTCTGACATTCTATCCTGGNCTAGCATTTTCCTCATTTCTTGCTTTGTATCCTCTTTTTTGTCTTGTGGCCTGTGGGGTGTTCCTTTTCTCTTATTTTCCTTAGATATTATTCACATAGGAAAAAAAAATGCACACAAATTTCTGCACAAACACTCCTACCTGGATACATGATTAACTTCTGACATTCTATCCTGGCATTTGTACTAAATTTTTGACATTTCTGCTTGCTGGAATATTAGCTGTTTAAGAGCATTGCAGGAGGGAGATTTTAATGAATTTCATAAGAAACTGAAAAATTCAAAGCAGGTGATGATCGTTTCATATCCTTTTTTGATTAGGAGACAGCTTCACTTTTGGTAAATTGATTCGCATAATGGGTGTGTCCTTTGTGTCAGGAGCTATTGTTTTCCATTTATCATGCAAGCGAGGAAAGTACCGAGTATATCCATTCAACAATCATTAAACTTCAGGTATTTGATTTCCGATGCTTGCATTGGTTTTCTTATTTGGTAGGTTACCTAGTTTTTCTAATTATGTATGCATACAGTATTCTTGCATGGGTCAAAGCCATTATGTACTTCGTGGATACTAGAGTGCGAACTTGTCATGCAACCATTGTCCCATAACTAACACTTGTATCAGTATGTGGTTTATATGGGAGAAGTTTATTTAAAATTATAGATTGCTCCTAAAATCAAATATGAATCTACAAAATCTTATTATCAGTGAGGTTTGTCCTAATGTTGTATTTTCTAACTCATTCTGCAGATTTTTTATCATCTCGGGATGGCGTGGGATTTACGTTGGAAAAGTTCGTCATGTGAAAAGATGATTTCCCCTATAGAGTTGCAGAACTTTTTACATGAACCTGTAGCCCCCACCATGGAACAGGTGTTTTAGTGTCAAGTCTCTTTTCCATGGTATCCTAATTTTCTTTTGATCAGCAAAATCATCTTTGCTGGCCCGTATCCATGATTCCTAGGTTATAATCATATCCCACTTCTTACAACCCCCACCCCATTTTCTTTTCTTAAAAACACTCATGCATGTATCTTTGGATATGAATAAAGTTGGCTTTGAAATGGTATAGACTGACCAAAAAGGGAGGTCCAGAAAGTAATAATGTGGGACAAAATGATGTCAGACCAAGTTTTTATCACAAGTTAGACGGCAGGGTTATTAATGTGAGTTGTTTTGATTGCTGCTTCTATCTATTTAAAGATATATTCACCAAATCTGGGTATTCCTATATTGATGGATACTTCATATTTATTTTAACGCAAAATTCTATGCAGCTGTGACTAATCTAAACGAAAGTCCTGTATCACGGTCATGTGAGATTTATTCTGATTGTATAGGAAGGGTAACAATTTGATGGAACACTAATAAACACAATAATATGAAAAGGCCAATTTTTCTGGTTTGCTAAACATTGGTATTGAATTTTTCCATGTAGTTGTCAAGGCTAAATTTGGATTGGAGCTGCATTCTGGAACGAGCACAGTCACACATGAGTTTGTTGGAACCTTTCATAGCATTCAGAGGAGTCTTGCTTCAGATTTTGAATTGTAGGTGCTGTACCGCAGAGCATCTTTTAGAGTCTGCATCTACTCTTCGTAAGGTATCATTATCTTTAACTCATCATATTTTTATACAAGTACATGAAAGGTGATCATATTGTCTGATATGTTATTTTATTCATTCTAGGGCTCTAGATATTCTCAGGCTGCTGCAGCTTTGCATGAGTTTAAGTTCCTCTGCAATGGAATGGGAGAAGGATGTTCTCACCTGTATTTTCTTGGAAGGGTATGAGTTTCTTCATTGCACTCTTACTATGGGGAATGGTAAATCCCATCCATGCTTTGGAACCCGCTCCAAACCATTCGACACCTGTAAAAGCTACATAAGTCAAACATGCTTGGCTTTTTTTGTCTTTTGGTGACACTAAATAGCTAATTGGGCATGCACAAATTACTGAGTTTTTCTGGTCATCTTGTTTCCTTCCATTAAATTACTTCGGTGTACATCTGGAAAGACAATGCATCACACAACGTCCTGGATTCTTTTATTTAAATCTTCTATCAGCAGCCATTCATCGGCTCATAACTGATTCCTGCTGTTTTTTCCGTTTTGTGATGATGCTCCCTTTCTTACTGTTATGAGAACTCTTTCTTAGCTACTTTTTTTTTGTCGGCACGAGTGTACGTCATATACTTTTGTTGAAGTTCCTTTGTCATGAAAAATTAATCTCTGCTGCTATAAATTTTGGAAGTAGGTGTATTTTTCTTCAGAGTGTTGGTGTTTTTTAAGTGCATAAGGACCACAGGTATATGGCTGTTTCATAATAAATGATTTAGCAGTCCTTACTATAGCCTTTTATCATACTAATTTACATTTTTTGTCGATGCATGTTGATCTGTTCTTCTCTTCCAATATTAAGAGTGTGTTTCTACTACGGGAGATGGCCTTAATATAGGTTTTTTTTTTTTCAATTTTGTCAGCTTGAAGAAGCTAAACTTCTGCGTGCCCAAGGCCAGCATGAGATGGCAATCAACCTTGCAAAGTATATCTCACAGCACTGCCAGTTGAACGGAGAGGTGGCAGATGTGTATCGTTTAATTGGGAAGTGGCTGGCAGAAACTCGATCAAGCAAGTAAGTTATACAATATAATTGTGAACTTGGAGCAAGTGTTTTGCATTGGTATCTCTATGCTTATGACACCATTGGTTCTTCTCACTTTCCACGACAAATGATGCAGCTCTAGGACTATATTAGAGAAGTACCTGAAACATGCAGTTACTCTTGCTGAGGATCACAAAGCCACTGACAAGAAGTCCACTATAAGACGAAGCCAAATGCATTTCCATCTTGCTCACTATGCAGATGGTCTCTTTCGTAGCTATGATGAGAGACTCAACTCTAACGAGTGGCAAGCAGCAATGCGGTTAAGGAAACACAAGGTACTTTATCCAACAAAAAAACTAAACGAGTGCAATGACAAAAAATAAAATAAAAGGAAGAAGAGAAAGAAAGAAAGACGTTACAGAGTTATAAAGCTCGTGACAATATTCTACTTTTATCTGCAGACAAAAGAGCTGGAAGCCTTGATTAGGCGACTAAAGAGTTCACCAAAGGCAAGTCCCAATCTCATGTATTTTTTGGTCCTTAACGTGACTCTCATGAAGAAATGTTTTTCAGCTTGCTTCACCTTTTTGTTATCGTTTTTTCTTTTGTGGGTTTTAGGTGGAGAAGACCGACTATTCAGTAAAAATACAAGAGTTGCAAAAGCAACTTGCAATGGACAAGGAGGAAGCTGAAAAATTACAGGTAAAACTGAATATGTAGTTATTGTCATCAACTTTAAAAAGAATTATGTGATGTTCTCTCTGTCAAATGCTTGAGGCATAACAGGGATCATCGCAAACAGCAATGAGAGAAATTCATTGAAAAAATTCGAATTGTATGTTATATTTCTGCACACTTAGGGTCCTTATGTGTGTGAATGAGCCATGCAAATTTGGTTTATACTTGTTTTTTCATTGATATATTCTGATGGTACAATTGATGTATAGACATATTTTATGGATCAGGATTTTTACATTATGCATCTGAAACTGTTACATATCTGGACTGGTGCTTTATGCTTTGATAGCTTTGGTATGTAGTAATTATGCTTTACTGTCTGCCGCAAGAATGAGTTCATTGTTGTTGGAACTCTCGTTGAGCTTAAGCCTATCACATTCTTTTGTTGTGGAGTTATTGGATATGATGATTTCATTTTGTTATTTTGGCCCCTCAGGAAGACACAGACAATTTTCTCAGCACAGCATTGAGAGGATATAAACGTTGTCTGGTCATAGGTGATAAATATGACTTAAGAGTGGTATGTATCTATCTTAAAGTCTTCTTTACAATACAAATGTCAAATTTCTGCTTACCACTGGCATGCACCAGTGTATAATATGGGAAGCAAAGAAGTAGAATCAAGATTGGCAATCAAAAAAAGAATATATATATATACAGCACTTGAAGTATCATTAATTGAGTATTTTCATTGTTCTGTAGCTAATTTGAAATTCATATTTGCCTTGTTATTGGAAGTGAAAATTATGTGCACAATGAGTAGTTTGACTCCAAATTTTATTATCCTAAGAGCGAAGTTGTCGAATATCATTGAGAACATGACTTTTGTGCTTTCAGGTATTTCAACTTGTTTCCCTGTGGTTCAGTCTCTCTTCCAGGCAAATTGTTGTAAATGCCATGCTTAGCACAATCAAAGAGGTACAGAAGGAATGGTATAGTAGGATAATAGTTGATTATTACAGAAGTTAAAAACAAAGTTTCATATATCTATAGTTACTTACCTTCCCCCACTGCCAAACTAAAAAAATAAATATTTTTTGTCATCGAGGTTTGTAATTTAAGCTGATTTTTTCATCCCTGCTCACTTGTCTGTGCAGGTTCAGTCTTGCAAGTTTATTCCACTAGTCTACCAAATTGCNCTGCCAAACTAAAAAAATAAATATTTTTTGTCATCGAGGTTTGTAATTTAAGCTGATTTTTTCATCCCTGTTCACTTGTCTGTGCAGGTTCAGTCTTGCAAGTTTATTCCACTAGTCTACCAAATTGCGTCAAGATTGAGTAGCCCAAAAGATGGTCAGGGGCCTCATAATTTCCAGGTATAAAGCTAAGGTTATATTTTTTGTTTTCTCAAATTTCTTCGTGTTTTCTATTACTCTTAAAATAAGTTCAGGTCTCAATTGTCTTTTTGTTCAGTTTGCCTTGGTTTCTCTTGTGAAGAAAATGGCCATTGACCATCCATANTTTTTTGTTTTCTCAAATTTCTTCGTGTTTTCTATTACTCTTAAAATAAGTTCAGGTCTCAATTGTCCTTTTGTTCAGTTTGCCTTGGTTTCTCTTGTGAAGAAAATGGCCATTGACCATCCATACCATACAATCTTTCAGGTATTTAAGTTGAACATCCAGCAAGTCAGATGACATTTGCTGTTTCAATTCTTTGACTCCTTAAATATGTTTCATATGAACATAGGCGTTCCAAAATTATTCATGTTTCCATCCCAAAATACAAGTGAAACGTGGTCACAGGCACCCTTAACTCACTTTAGCACACTAAGATAAAATGGAAAATGTTTAAGTTTCACAAATTTGGGATTGGATGCGCTTTTTGAATTCTGAATTCTTTTNTGAGCTTAAGCCTATCACATTCTTTTGTTGTGGAGTTATTGGATATGATGATTTCATTTTGTTATTTTGGCCCCTCAGGAAGACACAGACAATTTTCTCAGCACAGCATTGAGAGGATATAAACGTTGTCTGGTCATAGGTGATAAATATGACTTAAGAGTGGTATGTATCTATCTTAAAGTCTTCTTTACAATACAAATGTCAAATTTCTGCTTACCACTGGCATGCACCAGTGTATAATATGGGAAGCAAAGAAGTAGAATCAAGATTGGCAATCAAAAAAAGAATATATATATATACAGCACTTGAAGTATCATTAATTGAGTATTTTCATTGTTCTGTAGCTAATTTGAAATTCATATTTGCCTTGTTATTGGAAGTGAAAATTATGTGCACAATGAGTAGTTTGACTCCAAATTTTATTATCCTAAGAGCGAAGTTGTCCAATATCATTGAGAACATGACTTTTGTGCTTTCAGGTATTTCAACTTGTTTCCCTGTGGTTCAGTCTCTCTTCCAGGCAAATTGTTGTAAATGCCATGCTTAGCACAATCGAAGAGGTACAGAAGGAATGGTATAGTAGGATAATAGTTGATTATTACAGAAGTTAAAAACAAAGTTTCATATATCTATAGTTACTTACCTTCCCCCAGTGCCAAACTAAAAAAATAAATATTTTTTGTCATCGAGGTTTGTAATTTAAGCTGATTTTTTCATCCCTGCTCACTTGTCTGTGCAGGTTCAGTCTTGCAAGTTTATTCCACTAGTCTACCAAATTGCGTCAAGATTGAGTAGCCCAAAAGATGGTCAGGGGCCTCATAATTTCCAGGTATAAAGCTAAGGTTATAGTTTTTGTTTTCTCAAATTTCTTCGTGTTTTCTATTACTCTTAAAATAAGTTCAGGTCTCAATTGTCTTTTTGTTCAGTTTGCCTTGGTTTCTCTTGTGAAGAAAATGGCCATTGACCATCCATACCATACAATCTTTCAGGTATTTAAGTTGAACATCCAGCAAGTCAGATGACATTTGCTGTTTCAATTCTTTGACTCCTTAAATATGTTTCATATGAACATAGGCGTTCCAAAATTATTCATGTTTCCATCCCAAAATACAAGTGAAACGTGGTCACAGGCACCCTTAACTCACTTTAGCACACTAAGATAAAATGGAAAATGTTTAAGTTTCACAAATTTGGGATTGGATGCGCTTTTTGAATTCTGAATTCTTTTGGGTCGTAGCTTCTAGCATTGGCAAATGGTGACCGAATTAAGGACAAGCAGCGTAGTAGGAACTCATTTGTCGTGGATATGGATAAAAAAATTGCTGCCGAAAACCTCTTAAAAGAGTTATCATCATACCATGGGGCTGTCATCGGACAAGTAAAATACATCTCCCTTTTGATTTTTCATGTTATAATGTTTTATTTTATTTGTTTCGTTGTTGTTAAACTTTATCAAGTGTTTTCATGTAATTGGTGTTTTACTTGTTATATAGATGAAACAAATGGTGGAAATTTACATCAAACTTGCTGAATTGGAAACAAGGAAAGAGGTAAGCCTTGTGGTTTTAAGTTATGTTCCTTTTTCCGGTCACTTCTTTTGTAAGACTATGTTCCCTGCTTATATTCTGGTCCTTACTATGTTTGTTCATCTGATGCAGTCTTATTGACATTTGATTGCTAACTTGAGCATTTCAACAGGATACGAACAGAAAGGTTAACCTACCAAGAGAAATTCGCTGTGTTCGACAACTTGAACTTGTAAGTATAGCACTATGAGCATTTATTTGGGTTGCTATAATTTTAGGTTATGATATCAATTGATCCTTATTTTGTGAGCATGCCCACAGTCAGAGAAATGGTGTGGGTGAGAACGGTATAGAAAATGCCACATACCAGGAAGTTAAGGGATAAGTACTGCTAGTATAATATGCTTGCAATGGAAACACTTTTGAAGCTTCTGGTTTAGCGTAATATGACCCTGCCAAGATGTTTGTTTTCACAGGCTTTGACAATAACTGTGCAGTTGCAATCCAATTCTAATTTCATTTTGAATTATGAATAGCTAATTAAGGGAATGTCAATAAGAAATTCCCAACACTATACCTTATATCATAAGTTTAATTTGCATATAGGTCCTACAAAAGATTTTATATTGGTGTTCCACCCGCCTAATACAACTCTCCTTTTTCAGGCTTGGTACCACCTCATGAACAAATAATTGTAAAAAGTCAAAGTACATTGCCATGAAGGATTCCCAAATTTCTTTGGATGCCTTTGATTTACTTAATTTGCAGACATCAGATAATTTGTTAATATGATTTATAGAAACTAACATCAAATTTAGTCCTCATTGATGGGGTTAGACGGTGTGCAGACCTTACTTCTAACATCATTTGCACAAAGTGGTTGCTCTCAAGTTCAACATGCAACCTCATATTGGGCCGAATTTAACCACTGTTATTTGTTGATTTTATATATCTTTATTCAATTCTCTTTCCCCTCGATGGTCTTACAAGTTTGTAAATTTTAGAACATTCTAGATCTTTAGATCAAACTTCTTCCTCCAGAATTTTCATTACATGATATCTAATAAGCAAAAACATGGAGGGAAACATGTCCTCTTTCTTCCATCAGTTCCATAAGACTCTGGGTGCGAACTATAATTCTGCATAAGCTTATAACCTTGTCATAAACAAACCCAATGATCTTGGACCTTTGCTGTGAATATCCGTGGCTAATTGCAACAATTGATCCACTAAATTTCTTCTTTTTGTTCCTTTTTTATCTGTTATCATGAATGATAAATTTTGGATTACCTGGGTCATAAAAAACTTGGTGAATTAGCTTTTTGTCTGTGCATAGGAGAAGTGCCGGAAAGTAGATGTCCAATACTTTCGCTCAGAAGTTTCCTGAACTGCCTTCCAATGTATGATTTAAAAGTTGAACATTTTATTAGAGCATGTTAGCATGTGTATCTAACCTGCGCACAACGGTAATATTGTTCTATTGTGACCTGACCATCAAGGGCTTGAGTCAGAGAAAATCCACATGTGGGGGTAATGTTGCATGCATTTGACCCTCACCAGACTTGGGGTGACAGGAGTCTTGTGTACTGAGTTACTTTTTTTATGCTAGCATGTGTTTTTTGATTTTATTTTTGTATAAATAACTTCTGCTACAGTTGCATGCGCTCATTTATAGAAGAAATACTCATTTCCTCCAGAGATTATAAAGGTCACAGCAAGTGACTTCCGGCACCTCCCACTGCTGTTATACTTTTCACATTAGTTTTTGTTTCACTTGTCCCATTACTCATATAAAGTGGTACTTTTTTCTAGTAATAGGAGTAGTAAACCTAAAGACCTCTGTGTTTACTTTGGATGTCAGGTACCTGTTGTGACATCTAATTTTCCCGTTGACTATAGTTGTCAATATCATGAAGGCTCTTTCCCACACTTCAAAGGGTTGGCAGAGTCAGCCATGTATGTCTTAGACATGAATGGGTTTAATGATAGTTTCTTGTTACTGCTTCTAACTAATTATTATGGCTAACTATTTATTCATTTTGCTGAAATACGCAGGGTAATGAACGGTATAAATGCCCCAAAAAAGGTTGAATGCCTAGGGTCTGATGGTCACAAATATCGACAATTAGCAAAATCTGGAAATGATGACCTGAGACAAGATGCTGTATGTAGTCAAGTTTATAATTCTGTTTTTGAGGTTTCTTTGTGGCATCAGACTGTAGATGAAAGTATTTTATTAAATATTTCAACGATTGACTGTATTTGCTCATTCAAGAGCAAAAAGTACTTGGAGCCAGTGAGACCCTGAGAAGATATTACTAGTGTACTACACTTGCAAAAGTTACAAAATTCACTAAGAAAAAAATTCTGAACGTCTTTTTCGGGGAAGGAAGTTTGGCTACATGTAAACATATAATACCAGGGCTATAAGAAGCCCTCATTCCATTCTGTCTATACTGGCAATAAATTGTGCAAATAATATGCAGGTAATGGAACAGTTCTTTGGTCTAGTTAACATTTTCTTACAGAATCATCGGGATACTTGGAAACGGAGGTTAAGAATACGTACATACAAGGTATCTGCTCCATTTGTATACAATGAAACTTACATTGCCTATAATGGAATATTGTCTTTATGGCATAACTGCAACATAGGATGTATTTCATTGTCTTATGGTTTTGGTACAAATAATTGTTTATTCCAGTAATTCATTGAAAGTGAAATTGTATGTCAAAGGAAGAGAAGAAAAAAAACAAGGGAGTGCAATTAAAAAAAGGGTTTTAGTCTGAGTTGTGAGACTCAATCCTTCACCTATTTAGTGCATGTGTCTCTCATGCGCAACTTACATACACAGGGCGAAAAAACCCTCTACTAAGGCCCTTACTAAATACATTTGGAAGTGGTCTTCAAACTTCACTAATGGTGTACAAATCAAGCCTTTCTCAAGCTTCTCCTTGATAGAGTGACCGTCAACTTCAACATGCTTCATGCTATCAGGTTGAATTGGGTTATGAGCAATGTCCATGGCACCCCTATTGTCTAGACACATGGAGGCAATCACAAATTATTCCCAAATATACAACAGAGTTTCACAAATCCCCCGTGCTATGGTTTTATATTCTGCTCTGCACTGGCCTGAGCAACAACAACTTGCTTTTTGCTACTCCAAGTAACAAGATTTTCTCCAAGAAACCTACAATGACATCAAGTACCAATGGGGCTTTGGTCCAGTGGTACTCATTGTCTTATAAAGGCTTTGCCTTCAAGGGTTCAAATCTCCCTCCCCCGTCCCCTTCCCCTTCCCCTTCTCCCAAAAAAAAAATTAAAAAATCAAGTGACTTATTATTCTCGTGATAAAAATAGTAGGCTTGTTATGCTATATTACCTGATTTCAAAACAAGGTTGCAGCATCCATCTTTCTTGTTTGTCTACCCTTAGAACTGCCATTTCTTTTGCTTTCACTCTTTACATCATATGCATCTCACAATAGGTGAATTCCATATGTTGGGTGGATATTGTGTGCAGTATTCTTAACTTGTGTTACTTCAAAGTTCCAATTTTCTGCATATTGAGACGTGTGCTTAGTCTTTAATTTGTTACTATCAAGAATATCAAATATTTATTACGTATGAGACTGTGCACTTCATTTGAATAAAATATATGGTAGAGCAAATGATTTTTCGCCACATATGATAAGCAAAGTTGAATTTTTTAAAAAATTTCAATTGTATTGTTGATGATGCAGGTTATACCTTTTACACCAAGTGCTGGTGTTATTGAATGGGTAAATGGCCATGTGCCACTAGGCGAATATCTTATAGGAAGGTCTGGCATATTAAATTCAGTGCAGTCCTCTAGCAGTACATTTGGAATATTGTAGAGCAGTAATGCAGAAATTGTTCTGTGGCTTCATATTTCAGCATGAGAGATGGGGGTGCCCATGGACGCTATGGAATAGGAGACTGGACATTTCTGAAATGCCGGCAACACATGGCTGCGGTAAGTGCAATATGCCTTTGTTGCTGTATTTTGTTATTATACCATTGTTTCTCACCAGTCCAAAGTCTTAAACCTGTATTGATCACAATGTTTTCGACAAATATTGTATAATGGCAACTACAAAAGTCATAAATAATCAATAAGTTCAGGATCCCAATTTTGAACCTGTCAGTGTGGGTTTTAACAATCTTGTTTGGTGCTAAATCTGGTTCCAATAAAAGTCGATTTACTTTGTCAAACTTCTCAAGTATATCATTCTGTCTGGTTGAAAGAGAGATTTCAAACATCAAGTCCAGTTGGAATTTTGGTCCCCCAAGGACTTGAATCATGAAAATATATGAACATATAGTGATGCCTTAGTTGTAGATGTGTAAAAATTCAAATAAATTGGAAATTCAGGGATTAGGATTAGCATCAGGGCTTCATATTTGTAATTGGTCTGACATGTACTATTGTAAAAATAAATTATGAAGAACTACTTTCCTCAAAAGTTTTAGGTATCAGGTGATGGGCAAAAGGTACATGAAGCTCTCACGTCCTTGTGATGAATGGACTGATAAAACATTGTAAACATAAAATGATACAACCAGATTTGGAAACAAATGACAGCAGTAAATTTGAAATTAAGACCTTAAAAAATCGAAGCTCTAAGCTCTTGAGACAAAAACCTTAAGCTGTTAGTAAAGGGCAATGAAGTTGTGTATCATTTTTCTTATTTTTGGGTAATTTAACATTTTACCAGCCAAAAATAGTAACAGAAAATTCTGTACATTTTTGGAATGCTTTCTGAGGCAGTAAAAGTGTTGGGGAGTACTACTTTTGAACAAGCTCTTATACCAAAACTAAAGTTGGGCAGCTTAAGAGAGTTAAAATGTGCCTACAACAACTGGGTATTTGGTGGGTTGGAAGTTGGAACTTGTGTTAGAGCTCAAAAGGTGGAAAATGGGCTGTAAGCCCTATGGATGCGGTGGATATGAAAATTGGCTCCACCTGAAGGATGTTTGATTGCATGAAATTTAGCATTAGCAACAAAATGGGGTGTTTAAGTGTTAGGTTGACTGCCAAATGATGAGTATAAGGATTGTGGTTGGTTAGCACTTGGTGAGTNCTTGATTGCATGAAATTTAGCATTAGCAACAAAATGGGGTGTTTAAATGCTAGGTTGACTGCCAAATGATGAGTATAAGGATTGTGGTTGGTTAGCACTTGGTGAGTTAAGGCTTGGAATAGAAAAAGAAGATTATGATGCAAGGTGTTATGTCTGTACAGTCAAAAGATACTCATTGTCAAGTTTTTGGTGAAGGGAATAAGTAGATTTTTAAGAGCTTAAAAGTAAACAAGTGTTTGAGTTCGATAACGAGAAAAGAAGAGGAAGAAGAAGGATTTAGAAGAGGTAAGATACATTATGTAGAGCTTCATAAGCCTTTTGACAAATTCTAAAAAATCTTATCTGGACTCCTCCTTATACTGGGACTAAGATTTCAAAAACAAGAACATTTGCCTCTCTCTCTCTCTCTATAAAATGATTCTAGGCATATAAAGGCCCATCAATGACACAAAAACTTAGTTTGACAACTTTGTCCCATTATATGACTCTAGGATCACGTGTTCAGCCTGTCTCGTGCAAATGCTGAAAGAACTTATACAGTGTTACACTCTTGATACCAAACAAACTATAGATGCAACTCTACCAGCAGTAGACAATCATAAAACTGACATAGCATTCAGGATCAAATTGAACCAAGACTTCATTAGAAGAGATTCAGATCATGCTTTTTTTGAAATTCCTAGTTTGTCCTTTCCTTGTTGGCCACCTATATCATTTATAAACCTGGAAGGTCACATTTTTCCCTTCCTGCACATCTTATACGATAATCGTAAGTGCTTCAGTTGTACTCTTTCACGTCTTGCTATATAGGTGGCTAAGTTTATCATTTTTTTTGTTGTCTTCTTTATTTTTCATCTGTTTAGTTAACTATGTAAAAGTTATCTGGTAAACTTTTCTNCGACAACTTTGACCCATTATATGACTCTAGGATCACGTGTTCAGCCTGTCTCCTGCAAATGCTGAAAGAACTTATAAAGTGTTACACTCTTGATACCAAACAAACTATAGATGGAACTCTACCAGCAGTAGACAATCATAAAACTGACATAGCATTCAGGATCAAATTGAACCAAGACTTCATTAGAAGAGATTCAGATCATGCTTTTTTTGAAATTCCTAGTTTGTCCTTTCCTTGTTGGCCACCTATATCATTTATAAACCTGGAAGGTCACATTTTTCCCTTCCTGCACATCTTATACGATAATCGTAAGTGCTTCAGTTGTACTCTTTCACGTCTTGCTATATAGGTGGCTAAGTTTATCATTTTTTTTGTTGTCTTCTTTATTTTTCATCTGTTTAGTTAACTATGTAAAAGTTATCTGGTAAACTTTTCTAACAACCATGGCATAAGTTACTCCTATACTAAAATAATTTGAGATTGTGGGGGAGCCTCTATAAGCGTAAAGACTTGACTTCACTGAGCCAGCACTACTCTTTGTCGGCTCCTACCACTCGTCCCTCTTTTATGAGAATCCCGGGGTTTATGCATTTTTCAGAAACGAAAGTCGCTCGTCAACCTAAAAAAATAGAAGTTCCCTGCAGTGGCACTTAGACTTGGTCTGGTTTTGCGATGCCTCTTTTTATCTGAACGCTATATGATGGCATAGGCTAATAAACCTGCATTGCTGGATGGGATGGGAAAATCAAGCGTATTAGCTATCAAATGTATGAGTTAGCTAGTTGTTATTTGTAGCATGTCTACTTGGAAACAATCATGTCAAGTAATCACTCCATTTAATTCCAATATGAATCTTTCTTCACGTATTATGCATGTTGTCCCTTTTTTTAATCACTCTAGTTTCTGTTAGATTCAGTCCATAAATTTTTCTAGCAACTTGCAAGTGAATGTATTAGAAGAACACATGATATTTTCAGGATTTTTAAAATTAGTGCCAAAGATTGTAGAACTGGTCGTTCAGAGGTTAAGAGTTGATATGAAATCTTAAGGGAGGGGAGGCGTCAAAGCTCTGACCTAATCGCTAGTAATCGAAAACAAATTTTGTTTTCTGGAATTAAAGAGTATCATTTTCTTCTTATCAGGCAATCCAAATTGCATTTATTGATTGAGTAGGATTTGTGTGGTTCTATCACAACCTAAAGGGGAACTTCTATTGATGCCTATTGGGAGCACTGTGTTGAAAGCCTCCGATTTTCTCTTTAGAGTTGACAATATTTCATAACCTAGGTTCGAACATCAAAACTTTGGTATGCAAATGCCAAAAGGAAAGTTTAGAANAATGAATCAAGATACTACGATGATTCTTTAAGAACACTAGAGGATTTTGAAAATGAAGATAGTTGGGTTGCAGTAAATTGCACTATTACTATATTGTCATCATCAGGTTTAAAGTGCTCTTAAGCTTTTATGTTTCATTTATATTCAAAGTAAAAAATACAAAATTAGATATCATTTCTTATGTGATTTATTGTAAAAAAGTATCGAATCCTTTATTTTGACAAATCTCAAAAGAGCAAATGCAATCACAGGAGCAGGTTATATTTGGATTAAAGTATTGACCTAAAGTTTTGATGTCTTTTAAACCAACTTTGTAACTCATTAGTTTTTTTCATGTCTAAGATGAATTATGAGTATTTTTTTCTGAAATGCAGCCCAGAAGGAATAGCCTTAAAGTTGTCAATGTTTGCTGAAAGTCTTGGGGAAAAAAAATTAGTAGGGGCATCTGTGAATATAAAAACTTGTATTTGGGTTATTTTAAGTGATACCAGGTGTAGTTCAACTTTAAAGAAGGCTAAAGAAGCAGTTCCTTTTAGATAAGAAGTTGAATGAGCGGTGGTTCCTTTTGAAAATGTATTACATTCAATTAGAGGCACATCTTGGATCAAACTAAATAAATAAATTAGAGGCACATCTGTAATACGGCTGAAAATGGATTACCTGATGATGAAGTAAATGAGTTACCACATTTTTAAGTTAGTATAGAGAGGTTTTCAATGACTTGGGGAAGGCCCCTGCCAGACCACCCCCTATCCCAACCTCCAACCCACCCAAAAAAAAAAAAAACAAAAGAGAGAGAGGAACAGGGAGAGAGGAAGAAAATGATCTGATATTGTTATCGTTTTATGTCATCTTGTCAATTTGCTTCCTCATTGCATTTTTTTAATTACCTCTAGTTAGATGTTTATGATTAGGATGTATCCTAATTTTTACATCAGTTGCAATATGAACCTTTCAAATGCATCAAAAAACCATGTGCCACCTTGGACCTGGTTATGACTTGTCTGACACATAGTTATCAAATTGTGTATCGGAAGGCGTATCGTTTTTTAAAAATAGTGTATTGTAAGATACGGTGCAAATTTANTGAATCCTTTATTTTGACAAATCTCGAAAGAGCAAATGCAATCACAGGAGCAGGTTATATTTGGATTAAAGTATTGACCTAAAGTTTTGATGTCTGTTAAACCAACTTTGTAACTCAGTTTTTTTCATGTCTAAGATGAGTTATGAGTATTTTTTTCTGAAATGCAGCCCAGAAGGAATAGCCTTAAAATTGTCAATGTTTGCTGAAAGTCTTGGGGAAAAAAAATTAGTAGGGGCATCTGTGAATATAAAAACTTGTATTTGGGTTATTTTAAGTGATACCAGGTGTAGTTCAACTTTAAAGAAGGCTAAAGAAGCAGTTCCTTTTAGATAAGAAGTTGAATGAGCGGTGGTTCCTTTTGAAAATGTATTACATTCAATTAGAGGCACATCTTGGATCAAACTAAATAAATAAATTAGAGGCACATCTGTAATACGGCTGAAAATGGAT